GCCCACCCACATATGGGCCCCAAGTCACAAGGAGAACAGAGATAAACTTGCTCCTGAGCTCCTCAGCCTCTGCCCCCACCCTCTGGAACTCCATTCCACAGTCTCTTCGATACTTGCAGGGTATCAAGACCATGGAGGGCTTTGAAGGTGAGGACCAGGATCTTCAACTGCGCTGCGCTTTCCTGTCATCAGCAATGAGTGCCCTGGAATACTGTCTCAGGAACCAGACTACCAGACAATTAACTACAATTAACTGTAAATGTATCTTATCAGTATGTTTATTAAGGATTTTGCTTTCTAACAGAATAGATGAAGTGGTCGCTGAGAGTTGCTTCGGTGTACAGGAGCTGAATAAGCATTGAATTAAATGACAATTTCAGAAGCACCCCAGAGATAATCAATGTATTGCCAGTGTCAGTCCCCTTCCAAACAGCATTCCTTCAGCATCATGAGCACCCACATGTTATCTTATGGATAGCGAAAGAAAGTAAGAGGTTAAAAATGTGATACCACATTACAAGTTCATCTGTCCGCGCTCATTCAGGAAAACAGTCTTGCAAGACATGCACTGTGCAGTTTGGCAGCAATAACTTACACTTATACAGACATTTCACATGAAAGAAGCAATTTGCAGAATGAAGTTATTTAGAAATTATGTGCTGTATAGGCAAATGTGGCAGCCAATTTGTGCCAATTAATTAAAGAGCAGCCAATTAAATTTAATTTGTGGGGCAATTTAGATTGAGGAGACAGGAGAAAAAATGAACTGTTCTTTGAAATAGCAGTAGGGAGATAGAATCTCTACTTTACAGTAAATTCAGTAAAGCACTTTGAGACATTTTGACAACATAATAAGGCACTGTACTAAATCCACTGGTTATATTATAATAATACTTGCATTTGATATAGTGCTTTTTATGTCTTCGAGAGCCTCAAAGCGCTTCACAGAATACAACAACTGTATATACTCTAAAGTGAATATACTGTAACATGAATTGACTATATATTTGTGGGCAAAACACAGCAGCCAATTGTGCACAGCAGCATCCCATAAATAGTCGTGGATTGAGCGACCAAATTTTTTTTTACGTTGGCAAAAGTGGGAGTCAACCTGCTTCACAAAATCCCACAAACAACAAAGAGAAGTAAAACCGGTTAACAAGAGATTCAATAATAAATGAGTCATAGTAACACTGAAAATGTGTTGCACACAGTATGGCGTCTCCCTGCTCTGTTCTCTCCTCTCTCAGCAGGTGGGAACACGGCTGTGGGAGCAATGGGCTCCACACCCTCCCCAAGGCCTTTGTGTTTTCCACAACAACCACCACACGTTAACTGTGAGTGAGAAGCAGCGATAAAACAGATAGTGATTTATACTTCACAAAATAACATTAACATCACTTTCCCCACACTCATTGCCTGGCATTATGTTGTTATTTTGGCCAGACACAGAAAGTTGCTGCCACTCCAGGTGAGACACTGTGAGGTGAGAGCCTTGCAGCATAACCGTGTTTAAATCACTGCACCTCATGCTCAAACATACCAAACAACAAAGCTCAGCTGCCGCTTTAATGGTGTCTGAAGCAGTTAAAAGCATTTTCCCTGTATGCCTACCATTAGTTTGGTCAGACAGGTGTCTGACACATGTGCAAACCCATCGCGACGTCTAAGAGTATCCAAACCAAACTGAGAATTCCATGCATCCCACCTACACATGGAAATCCCAGAGATATTTGCACTTGACATCAAATTGATAGCTGCTTCAAACAAGGGTTGAGATCTTCACAAAGCACCTGCACATGTGGGCTTCAGGATAACACCAGGCAATTCAGTAACAGGTATTTGACATTTGGTAATAAACAAAAGGCAAAATACTGCAGATGCTGGAAATCTGAAATGACAACAGAAGTCACTGGAACACTCAGCAGGTCAGTCAGCATCTATGGAAAGAAGTCTGTAAATCTTACGAAAGGTCATCCAAGATGCTGTCTGACCTGCTGAGTGTTCCCAGAGACTTGTTTTTATTTGACATTTGGTGCTTGGCTAGCTTATATGGACTATAGGATTATATTGAGTGTTCACCAGCAGAAACACACTGACTGTACCAAGTAGCTTCCCTCTGAAATACAAACTCACTTCAATCACGTGATCACACACGTGATCACAGTTAAGCAGAAGAACAACAAGAACAAAATTACATTTGTATAGCGACTGTCACATCGGGGGGACGTCCCAAGGTATTTGACAATCAGAGTTTCGGACCCGAGATGGGGGTTGGGATCGGGTAAGGTGGAGGGCGGAGAGGGGGGAAGGAGGGTGGAGCGCATTGGGGGGAAGGAGTGATCGAAGGCACAGTCGAAGAGACGGGTCTTGAAGGAGGCAAGTGAGGGGGTGAGGGAGTGGGCGAGGTGGAGGGACTGTGGGATGGAGTTCCAGAGGGTGGGGGCAGAGTGGCTGAAGGCCCATGCATCAATGGTGGGGCGAGCGAGGCAGGGGATGTGAAGCAGGCTGGAGCTCACTGAGCAGACGGAGCGAGAAGGATGGTAGAGTCCTGTAGCTCAGTGGTTAGAGCACTCGCTTTGCAAGTGAGAGACCTGAGTTCAATTCCAGGCAGAGGGAGAAACCTTGGGCAAGTTTCCTTACTCCACACAGAGCCTAATAATAATCCCTCCAAAAAAACAAAAAACAATAATAAAATTGGTCATTTTCAATCTACGACTGTTTGTGGGACATTGCTGTGCGCAATTGGCTGCCGCGTTCGCCCACAAATATACAGTCAATTCACTTTACAGTGTGTTCTGTGAAGCGCTTTGGGACGTCCTCCCGACGTGAAAAGCGCTATATCAAATGCAAGGATTATTATTATATTATTATTATTATTATAGAGGATTAGGAGGTGGCAGAGGTAGGGGGAGCAAGACCACGGGGAGCTTTGAAGGCGAGGACCAGTATCCTGAACTGTGTCCTCTGTGTGATGGGAAGCCAGTGGAGTTGGGCGACGATGGGGCTGATAGGGTCACAGAGTTTGGTATGGGAGAGGACACGGGCTGCAGAGTTCTGGATCATCTACACTATGGAGGGAGGAGTTGGGGAGGCCGACAAGCAGTGAGTGCATAGTCAAGCCTCGATGTTATGAAGGTGTGTATGAGGGTGTCGGTGGCCTGCGGTGTGAGACAGTGGTGGAGCCGGGAGATGTTGCGGAGGTGGGGAAGGCAGAGCGGGTCATGGCGCGGATGTGGGGTAGAAAGGATAGTTGAGGGTCAAACAAGACCCCAAGGTTGCGGACTGGCTCAGTGAGGGGGAGTGAGCCCCATGGATGGTGATGCTGTCAGCGCCTGAGGTGAGGAGGCGCTGACGAGAGCCAATCAGGAGCCTCGGTCTTGTTAACGTTTAACTGAAGAAAGTTCGCTCTCATCCAGGACTTGATGTCTGATAGACATTCTGTCAGGACAGCAGTGGGTTCTGGAGTCAAGGGGGGAGGCAGAGAGATAGAGTTGGGTGTCAACTGCATACATGTGGAAGTTGACCCCATGTCTGCGGATTATGTCACCAAGAGGGAGCATATAGATGTTGAAAAGGAGGGGACCAAGGACAGAGTTCTGAGGAATACCGCATGAGACGGTGCGGGGGCTGGAGGAGAAGCCGTTTGTGGAGATGAAGTGGAAGCAGTGTTAGACGTGTGATCTGAACAATTCAAGGACAGAACCACAAAGGTTGAGGTGAGAGGAGAGGCGGTGGAGGAGAATAGAGTGGACAACAGTATTGAAGAAGGCAGCAAGTTCAAGGAGGAGTTCCATTTTGGGGCTGTTTGCCTACAAATATACAGTTACTACACTTCTACTGAAATCTCTGAAGGGCTTTGAGACCTTTTCACTTTATAGCTGCTGTATCAAGTACACAGATTATTATCTCAGTTGGATTCTGCTGTAACTCTTCAAGGAATCTGTGATACTTGAAAAGTGGTGCCGCTTCCTGAACTGACTGCTGTGATGTAGTCTTGGTGTAAACGTAGCCTCGTTACCCCAGCAGAATGAACACATTGTAGGGAATTCTTCAGCTCAGCCGTAGTTTGGGAGCTATTAAAGTAACTACAGAAAAGCACTTCAAACTTAATACTGAATTCACAAAGTGTCCAAAACTCACACTCTCTAAAATGCTACGAAGAAAGTCTATCTCCAGACCCAGGTGGAAATTCTCCCCTCTTCACAATAATAAGCTTGCAGCCTTCTCAGATCGTCAAAACAGCAACAACAACGTGCACTTACACAGCGCCCTCCACGCAGGGCAGCGTCTCAGGGCTCTTAACAGTGGCGGAGCCTAACTCTGAGCCGAGGAGAGGAGGTGACCGTGAGCACGGTCGAAGAGGAAAGTTTTCAGGCGGGACTTAAGAGGGCAGAAAGGAGGCAAGATGGAGGGACTGAGGGAGAGTGTTCCAGAGCTTGGGGTGCAGTGGCTGAACCCACGACATTCGATGGTGGGGCAGAGGGTGTGAGGGATGAGCAGGAGGCCGGTGCCAGTCGAGTGGAGGTGCCGGGTGGTGGATTGGGGAGTGAGGAGGTCGGAGAGGGAGGGAGGTCCCAGGGAGTGAATGGATCTGGACAGGAGTGTGAGGACCTTGAAGTTGAGCACAGCTGTTTGGACAGACCAGGAGCTCGCTGGCTTGAACCCCGCTCAGTACTGGGGTTCGCTGGTCTCAGCCAGGGCTGCGAGGGGAGGTTAAACTGGTCCTGACCTTCCCAGGGTTAGGGAGGGGGAAATCAGCCAGGTCACTGCTCCCGGTCCCTCTGCTGGCTGTACCAGCCGGGTGAGCAGAGCCCAGTCCATGCCATGCTCTACAGTTGAACGCCAAAGCTCAGTGCCCGGGCTCACACAGCCAGGGGCCACCCAGCGGGCGGAGGGGGGGGGGGGCAGAGAGGCGTGTGCCACCAGGGAGCAAAGACAGACAGTCACCAATAATGGACGGCCAACAAACCGTACGGAAAGAGAAAGCTGATACTCACGGCGAACACGGCGTTCTGGAGCCCGAACGGGATGGGGGTCAGCCTGGCCAGGAAGACCACCTTGAGGCCGCTGGTGCCGTCCAGCACGCGGACGATGGCGCTCAGCTTGGCGCTGTCCCTCACCAGGGTGGCCATGTGGCGGCTCAGGCAGCGCTGGATGGCGTGGTGGGCCAGCAGCGTGCCCGCCAGCACCCCCAGCGCCAGCACCGCCAGCCCCCGCTGGAACCCGTACAGGTACCCGGGGGCCAGGCTGAGCGGCGTGTACCCCCAGCTCCAGGGGAAGGACAGGAAGGTGAAGGCCAGGGCGAACAGCAGGAAGCCCACCCCCGCCTCCTGCCTCTCCAGCCACCCCAGCAGCCCCCTGACCGGCCCGCGGGACCCCCGGCCCAGCAGCCAGCCCGCCATCACTGCCGTCACCAGGGCAACGGCCAGCGCCGCCCGCGGGGCCCACCCCCGCCACCCCGGCCCCGCCCCCGGGCCCGGGCCCGGGCCCGCCGCCGCCTCACCCGCGCCCGTCTCCCGGCCCATCGCGGCCGCCGCCGGGCTCCCGCGCTCCCTCCAGCCCCAGCCGTTAGAAATCCGTTAGTAGCCCAAAGACCGCCCCAAACACTCTCAAACTAGCCCAAGAAGTAGCGCCACGCCACGCGTGGCCTCCCGTGTTGGAGGGTCTCCGGGGGGTTGGGGGAAAGCGCTTCAGGAGCGGCGCACGACCTCCCCCCGCGCCGCCCCCCCCTCCCCGCGGGGCTTCATTCACACAAACTTTTCCTTTCAACAAAAAAACACACGAGGCTCCCGCCCGAAGCCGCCGCCCCGCGCGCAGCGCCGCCCAATCCCCGCGCGCGCTGGCTCGGGGGCCCGCCTCCGCCGTCTCCCCTGATTGGACAGCGTCTCCGTGACGCGATGCGCCGCCGCTGCTGATTGGGTAGCTCTCCAATCTGGGGGGCGGGGGCGCGGGTAAGGGCGGGGACGGAGAAGGCGAAGCGTCCAATCAGCAGCGTTAGTCCATGTGATAGCGTGCTCCCCCTCCCTCCCCCTCTCTCTGGATTGGCCACTCGCCGCGTCCATCACACACACCACGATTTGATCCAATCATTGACCCGCCTCGCGTATGGTCCCGCCGTCCCGCCACGCCCCCTCGCCCCCCCACCCCAGCATTGCTAGGGTTGGGCGGGTTCACGCCCAATCGGGCGGGTTTTTGCATTGCTTGTGGGACACGTCTGTGCTCAATTGGCTGCTGCGTTTCGCCAACACAGTCACTACATTTTACAGTGGTTCCTCTGAAGCGCTTTGAGACGTCTCGACGACGCGACAAGATCAAATAATAATAATAATTATAATAATAATGTCAAAAGCATTGTTATTGTTGTGGATGGTAAACGGCTCTGGGGAACAGGCGCCTCATTTAGTTGAAACCTACAAAACGTGTTTTTTTCTCATTTGAAGACATTTTCATAATAAGAGACATATCATAATATGTGTAGTTTCACTTTCACAGCAGAGCGTTTACATGTGAAGTCTGGTCAAACTGATTTGCAGCTTATTTTTGAAGAGTATGTGTTCATCACATGTCCCCGAAAGCGAACTAACCCCACACCTGTACATTATTTTTTATGAAGTCCTGTCTGTAATATTTCTTGATGAAATATGGCCAGTAATGGAATTTGACCAAACGTGAGTGATAATCGCTCACAGGGATGTTTACCGAAAACATTTTGCATTTCTGATTGTTAGGTATAAATATAGTAGTTAAATTATTTACTGTATATTACACAAAAACAACTTTAAATACTCGAGTTATGCAGATATATTTGCTATCATACAGGTACTGCATCTTTACTTTTCAGTTTCTCACGTTTGAGAAAATGAAATTGTCACTGGTGCACAAAGCACATCCTCAGGAAGGAGCTGATGACCTCCAGTTTATAGTGTATGATAATTTGTCAATGAAGGTTGTGTCTCGCTTTTGCTTTTGTTTAAAAAAAAGAACTTCTCGACAGCCACTTTCGTGCAGAAAAAGGATTTTTCAATCGTTATAAGCCCGGCAGAGTGAAACCTTAGGGAAGGTTTCCTTACTCCACACGCCTGATAATAATCCCTTAAGGCAAAAAATAATACAGTATATTCTGTGAAGCGCTTTGAGACAACTCGAAGACGTGAAAAGCGCTATATCAAATGCAAGGATTATTATTATTATTTTCTTACACATCTTCAAAATATTGGTCTAAATCAGTCACTCTGTTCCCCAGAGGGGACAACACATAATACTGGGCTACCTTCAGGTTACTGTTTAGTGACCTTTGGGCTACTTGTTGGACTAGTTTGGGAGGGGGGCTTTGGGCTGGTTTTTGGGCTCGTACTTGAGGTTCTTCGAGCTATTATGGTGGGGGGTGGGGGCTGCGGGCAAGTGTTTTGGTGGCCTTTTGGGCTAGTATTTGGTGGGCTTTAGGCTATAAACTGTATCTTAAGCCCTGGATGATGGCTGTGACTCTGCGCAACACTCTGTACCTATCATTGCTGTCTGTTGTTGTTTGGTGCTTCCTGCTGGTAACTTTCCCCAGACCAGTTAACAGCTGGATTTGACACAGATTCCCGGTTAACATCTGTACACAAGGCCAGATTAACGGAGGGACTTTAGAGTCTGAGGCTCCCAAAAAAGAGTGAGCGGGACACTGCCAGTAACTAACCCTGGAGGCCAATGCTCATTTTCAAAACTCGGACTAATCAGGTCAACTATGGATTAGCCAAGATTGAATAATTTGACATTAATGTCAATCGAGTGTGATGACTTGCTTCACCGCTGGATTTTAATGACTTCATTGAAGACGTCAGCCATGAAGAGTTGGAAGAAACCGATTTAACAGTTGTAAAGCCCTTGTTTGATTTTACCTTTACCATCATTAAGTGTATTAGTATTAATAATTCCTTAAAAAATAATAAATTGGTTACTCAATCCACGGCTGTTTGTGGGACGCTGCTGTGCGCAACTGGCTGCCGAGTTTTGCGCACAAAATATACAGTAAATTCACTTTACAGTATATATTCTGTGAAGCGCTTTGAGATGCCTCGAAGATGTGATATGGCGCTATTTCAAATGCAAGGATTATTATTAATCCACCCCTAGCTGTATGTGACACAGATTGAGCTGTCCCATTTGCCTGTAAAGAGTTCACTGTCATGACAAATCAACTTTTGAGAGATTTATTTTTATGTGAACGTGCTAAATAAAGAACATTATAATTGCTTTCACCCACTGGGTGGCTGAGAGGAAATGATCCCATGATAGAGTCATAAACTGTCAAACAAATGTGTGGTAGTTGCTGTCAAGTCAGGCGTGCAGCTAAATTGCTCTAAAGAATGAGTAAAAGGTGCTAATAGGAAAATAAGACATTCCTGTCACATTAAAACTGCACACGCTGCTTCTTAAGTATTCTCAAGCATCGTGACTTTATTAGGCAAACGTAACAGTCAAGTCCCACAAATAGTGAACGACTAATTAATCTGATGTGTTCTTCTAAACACTGAGAGCAACACTCTTACTCTTTTTTAAACAGCATTGAGGATTCTTTAACGTCTGCCTGACAAACAGACAGACAGGACCTCGATTCAACAGCCCTCAAATGGGTAACACCAGCCCTGGATTCTCACTGTGTCTCATCTTACTCCCCCAAAGTCCCAAATGAAGGGCCCATTCTCTATGTTGATAACTGTGCTGACCTGGCGGAGACCAGGTGCCCATGTGTTAGTAAATGACTGACCTTTTCCCGAGTGTGCCTCGCGTGTCTAACAGCTTTCCCCTTTCATGTAACTCTGCTCAGGAGCCAGCAATTGACTGAGGACAACAATGGTCAGCGTGGCAGAGGCTGAATGAATGTGGCAGGCGGTGTGCGTCGGCACTCTTTCGATCTGAGATGGCTTCCACTGATTATTAACTGGAACAACGACTGGCTGTTATACAGCACAAAACAGCACATGGGCTCATGGGCAGGATTTGGAAGGGCAGATCGGTCACTGGGATAGGCACTCGTCCCACTCAGCTCCTGGATGAGAGCTAACTTTCTCCAGTTGAATAATGCCCTCCTATTGGGCTACTAACAGCACCTCTCATTTCTGACGCTGACAGCATCAGTGTTCATGGATGCACTCTCCATCTCAGAGCCAGTACAGAAGGGGTGTCCTGTTCGACCTTTGATTCTCTTTTAAACCATTCATCCCTTAACCATCTAGCACTTTAATAATAATAATAATAATAATCCTTGCATTTGATATAGCGCTTTTCACGTCGGGAGGACGTCCCAAAGCGCTTCACAGAACACACTGTAAAGTGAATTGACTGTATATTTGTGGGCGAACGCAGCAGCCAATTGCGCACAGCAATGTCCCACAAACAGTCATAGATCGAAAATGACTAATTTATTATTGTTTTTGTTTTTTTTGGAGGGATTATTATTAGGCTCTGTGTGGAGTAAGTAAACTTGCCCGAGGTTTCGCCCTCTGCCTAGAATTGAACTCAGGTCTCTCACTGAGCTACAGGACTCCAAAGGACTCACATCGGAAGGACTTTGGGACGTCCTTCCAATGTGAAAGGCGCTATATAAATGTAATTTCTTTTTAACTCTGCAAGCTAAAGCCCTAACGGGGTACCATGTTCCCAACTGGACAAGCAGCGGGAGGCTTTCCAGACATTAATGGCAAGCTCTCAATGGCAAGCTCTGCTGTTTTAGCTGGTTAGATTCCAACAGTTACCCCAATACATACTCTGAGATCCCCAAGCCTTGGCTCTTTAGAAATCTCGCCTAATACTTTCCACAATTATGTAAGCAGGATGCATCTCTCCAAGGAGAGAGTGTGTATTCCATTCTAATAAGCATTTCTGGAAACTTCCACGTGCGTGTGGGCTGCAAGGAAATCTCAATTTGGTTTGGATACTTAAAGCACAGTGATGGGTTTCCGCGAGTTGGAGATACCCAATTGACCAAAACAAATTTTATCACAAGATGACAAGATTGATTTGGATGAAGAAGGCCTTTTGGCTTACGTCTTGAAGCTCTTCCCTGTAACGGTGTGGAGACCTGAGCAAGGTGATAGGAAGGGGGAGTGTATGGAGAAGCTGTACAAAAGCGCTTCTGATGAGGGAGACGTTCATCCACACCCCGCTCCTTAAATCCCAGCTCCACCTCCTTGCCCCATTACTCGCTGACATTATTAGCCTCTCCCTGTCATCTGGCACTGTTCCTTCCCCCCTCAAAACAGCCATTATCTCCCCCACCTTCAAGAAACCTTCCCTCGACCTATCACAACTATCCAGCTACCGGCCCATCTCAAACCTCCACTTCCTATCCAAGGTCCTTGAGAGAGCTGTTGACAGTGTGTTCCCATTCCCCTTAAAACTGCCATCATCACTTCCATATTGAAAACACCCTCCTTTGATGCGTCGCAGCTATCAAGCTACCGGCCCATCTCCAACCTCCCCTTCCTGTCCAATGTCCTGGAAAGAGTTGTGGCCTCCGAGCTGCGCTCTTTCCTCTCCA